CTTGCAGAGGACCTGGGTTTGGTTCCCATTACCTATATGGGGGCTCACAATTTCAGTTTAAAGGATCTGATGCCCTCTTCTGGCCCTTAACAGGCGTAGACATAACATTAAGGCAAAACACACATAAAATAAAAACAAATACATCTTTTTAAAAAATTACTTTTTTTTGAGACAGGGTTTCTCTGTGGTGTAGCCTTGGCTGTCCTAAAACTTGCTCTGTCGAGCAGACTGGCCTTGAACTCACCTGCATCTGGCTCCAGAGTGCTGGGACTAAAGGTGTACATCATCAGGCTGGATTCAAGTAACAATTTAAACATAAAGTTTTGAGAGCTTTTAAAGACTGGGTGATGGGTTAGTGATTATGGTAAAATTATTTTAAAAAGATTTTCCTGTCTTTCCTTTTTTTTTGTTGTTATTGTTGTGTTTCTGGTTTTAATTTTTGTTTTTTACTAGCCTTTTTTTTTTTTAAACTTGGACTGTGTTTAAACTTGTGATCCTCCTCACACCTTAGCCTCAGCATTGAGGAGGCAGAGGCAGGTGGATCTGAGTTGAGGACAGCCTGGTCTACAAGAGCAAGTAAGTTCCAGGAATGCCGGGACTACACAGAGAAACCCTGTCGATCCACCTGTCTTAGCCTCTCATCTGTTGGGATTATAGGTGTGGCTCACCATGTTTGGCATAGATTGGTATAAATCATTGACTTTTTGATGTGAAAAATTGCATTTTCTATTTGAAATTCAGGACTATTGAAAGTCGCTTGTAACTTTGATTTGAAATTTTCAGATACTGATGTGGATGTGGTCGGCCTGTGTCAAGAAGGAAAGTTTCTTTTGGTTGGGGAGAGAAGTGGCAACTTACATCTCATCCATGTAACATCAAAGCAAACATTATTCACCAAAGTAAGAGCCCTGTTGTCCATTTTTACCCCAACGCTCTTAGATAGCGTACTCTAGCAAGCCATTACTGAGTCTGCATTTTAAAGTAAAAACAAAAAGCTTCTCTTCAATCGAAGAATCAGACTGCGGGAACGCAGGAAGTAAACCCGAAAGTGATCAGTGAAGTTCTGAAGACCCAAGTATGCTTGTGCATAGTTTTCTTTTCAAGCTGCAGCGTTTAGGGTACAGTCTGTTATTGCTAATGTCTTCTGATGAGTAGGGTTTAAACCATATACCCCTCACTCTTTATTCATCTCAGTTTACTCTTGCTATTTGAAATTCATTTACAATTAGGCTTTTGTGGAGAAAGCGAACGATGAGTATCAGCATACTTACCGGAATCTCATTATTGAGAAAGATGGTTCAAATGAAGGTAAGTTTCTTTGAATGTTTTGCATGTTTTTTGATGGAGACCCAATCAAGTATTCACGTTTATGTTTAATAAACATTGTTAGTTCATTGCTGTGCTACCTAAATCATGATACTTTTTATGTCAATACAATTAATAGAGACCATTTTTGTTTGTTTGGTTTTAGAGACAGGGTCTCTCTATGTAGCCCTGGCTGTCCTGGAACTCACTGGATAGTGAATAATCCCTCCTACTGGGATTAAAGATTTGTGACACCACACCCAGCACAGCTTTTTTCTTTTTTGAGCAGAGTGAATGTAGATTTAGTAAGGAAAAGTAAGAGAGCTTCTGAGACTAGGAGGGAGGTGTTTTCTAGGTAGGAATCCTGCCATACAACAGTTTTTCATTGTGGCATTACATTCCTTTAAAACATCTGTGTGGGTTTTAGCATGTAAAAACTTTTTTTTTTTTTGACACAGGGTTTCTCTGTGTAACTCTGGCTGTCCCAGAACTTGCTCTGTAGTCCAGGCTGGCCTCAAACATCATAGAGTTCTGCCTTCCTCTGCCTCCCGAGTGCTGGGATTAAAGGTGTACGCCACCACCACCCAGCTCATTTTTTTTGTTTTGTTTTCTTTTTTTTTAACATTAGTTTTGTGTGTACGTGTGTGCCCAGGACCAAATTTCTGCTCACTATTGGAGGTCAGAGGAGAACTTGTTGGAGTTGGTTCTCTTATTACCATGTGGGTCTGAGGAATGAACTCAGGGCATCAAGCTTGGTGACAAGTATCTGTACCTGCTGAGATATATTACCAACCCCAGTTGGTAGATTTTAGAGCTAGTTTCCAGTATTGCTTTGGATCTTCTATTCACTTGCCTTTTAGAGAAACTGAGTTTGATTTTATTTTACCAGGTACCTATTACATGTTGCTTCTAACGAACAATGGATTTTTTTATATTACAAACCTCCAGCTTTCACAAATTGAACAGGGTAATGTATTTTCTTGTTGATTTGTGACAGTGTTTATTAGTTTTCAAGTAACTCTTCAAGTATTCTCTTTAAGAATATTTTAATTTAGTTGCATCCTGTGATACTGGGTATACTTTGATGTATTCAGAGTACACATAACTCTTCTCTGCTGAAGCTGTGGTAGAATATGAAGAAATATTTGGTTTCAGCCTTCAAACAGTTAATAGCTTAATTAGGAAGAAAACACATATACAGTGATGTGACTTTTTGTATAACTGAAGATTGGACCCAGGGTCTTGTGCATACTAGGCAAGTGCTCTACCACTGAACTGTACCTCAGCTGCTAAGTAGCTTTTTGAAAGAGGAAATGAACCCAGTGATGGAGATAACTAACTTTTAATATTGCAGAGTGAGCTGGTGAGGTGGCTGGGTAGGTAAGAGCACTTGCTTTGCAAGCATGAAGACCTGGATTCAAATTCTCATCACCTGTGAAAAGCTCTGCCTCTACCTCCAGCGTTAGGAGTGGGGAATGGATATCCGTGGATCCTCAGTGTTAGCTGGCCAGCGGCACAGCTGAAACTGAGTTTCCTGTTCAGTGAGAACCCCTGTCTCAAGGCAGTAAGACAGAGAGCAACACCATAGTGGTAGACACCCAGAGTCCTGTTCTGTCCTCTGCATGTGCGTGCAAGGGTGCATGCACCCTTACACTATCGTGCATGTATCATATACAACCAACACACAAAATAATACACAGTAACAGTCAGTGATCAAATGGTATGGACTGTAAGTCTCACTGAGCTAGGTAAAACTGAAGAATTTGTTTTGACAAACTTTACTAACATCTACTGCAGGCTAGATAACATGTTAGGTCCCATGTATATGATTAGGTTTTAAGATGCATCGTTTTCAGTGGGGGTGGGAGGATGACTCACATCGTTAATCCCAGTTCTGAGAGGCAGGAATATCTCTGAGTTATCTAAGGTAGAATGGTCTACAGAGTTCCAGGACAGCCTGAACTACATAGAGAGATCTTGTCTCAAACAAACAGAAAAACATTTAAGATACATCATTTTTCATAGTTAATGCAGGATCAAGACGGGTTAAAGAGATGTTCTGAGCCAGATGGGCAATGGTGAATACTTTCCAGGTGAGACTCAGGCTTTAGTAGAATTGGGGGTGGTGTAGAGGTACTTGGTAAGGCTCTGTGTAGGTTGATTGGCCGATCCCAAGAGTATACGATGTGCTCTCAGGGAATAGCCTTGGTCAGAGAGACTAATTTACTGATCCTGACCTGTGTCCTTTGGCCTAGGATGCATTAATTTCATCTTAACTCAAAAGGAGTAGTCTTGTTTTTAGTCTATATGAACCTGTGGGTTGCTACTATGTTTAGACAGCCTTTTGTTTTTGTTTTTTAAATGAAGCAATTGAAAACACAGACTTGGATTTGGCCAAGAAGGTAAGAAAAGAAATCATATTGCCTCTTTAAAACTTTTACTTACTATGAATGTACAAGCTGTTTCTGTTATTAATCATTGTACTGGCTGGTACTTTAAGAGTTGCTATAATCTAACATTTCAGAAACATTTCTGTTTAAAAACATAGATGATTGATTTGAGCAGATTTCTATGATTTTTATTCGGCATACATGTATCATGTTTTATTTTATTTTATTTTTTTTTTAATTTTGCAGTTACAAGGACAATTCAAATGTAGTTTTATTTCTACTGAAAATTACCACAGTCTTGGTTGTCTTAATCTTGTGGCTGGAGAATTTGCAAGTGAAACTCCTGTGATAATTGGGGTAATTCTTTTTATAAATTTTGCTTTTTCATAAAACGTTTCTTTTTACTTAAAGTACACATTAACTTGTAATGTGTGACAAGAACAGGGAAGTCAGGGCTGGAGGCTCCGTGGTTTACAGCCCTTGCTGCTCTTGAGGAAGACCAGAGACTGGTTCCCAGCACCAGGTTGTGAAGGTCACAATGCCTGTGACTCAGCTCCAGGATGGTCACACCCTCTTTGTGTGGCCCTTGGGTACCTGCACACATGTGTGCATACACACTCACATAAAACATAAATAGGGGTTGGGAATTTAGCTCAGTGGTAGAGCACTTGCCTAGCAAGCTCAAGGCCCTGGGTTCGGTCCTCAGCTCAATAATAATAATAATAATAATAATAATAATAATAATAATAATAATAATAAAAAATTAAAAAGTAAATCTTTATCAAAAGAAACAAGCCAGGCATGGTGGCACACAGCTTTAATCCCATCACCCTGTCTCCAAAAAAATGGCTGGGGGCTTGGGGGGGAAGGAAATTATAAAATTATGGTCATAAAATTAACTAAATAAAATTTCTATGCTAGATCATCAGTGTTGATTTTCTCTAGTCTCTCCCTGAGATTTTTCTTTCCTTTTTTGAGTTGGGGGTCTCACTGTGCATCCCTGACTGGCCTAGAACTCACTGAATAGACCAGGCTGGCCTTGAACTCAGAGATCCACCTGCCTCTTGCCTCTTTGGTACTGGGATTAAAGGTGAGCACAACCTTGCCCGAAAGTTTTCTTTTGATCAGGCAAGGTATTGTTTCTTCCCCCAATCGTATTTCCGCATTTCTTTCAGCATAAAAACAACAGAAAAAGAAACAAAAGGCTCCTCAATGAGAGCAGCACCTGTGACCACGTCACTAAATGTTAATCTCGGGTTCAAAGCAGACCACTGTAGCCTCCCAACCCCACCCCCAGCTCGCTCTTTGTTTATGGACCGCTTCATAAATGTGCATAAATCTTTGCACAGGAGCCATGCTAATCTTCTCTGTATCGTTCCAATTTTTGTATATGTGCTACCAAAGCAAGCATGTAGTTCTCTTAAATACTGTTCAAGTATTGCTATTTTAAAATTGGAGTGACCATAAAAGGTCTATCAGGAGATCCTCCTGCCTCTGCCTCCCCAACACTGGGATTGAAGGCATGCATTACCAGGCCCAACTGGTTTTTTTTTTGTTTTGTTTTTTTCCAAGATAGGGTTTCTCTGTGTATTCCTGACTGTCTGAGAACTCGATCTGTAGACCAGGCTGGCCTCAAACTCACAGATATCTGCCTCTGTTTTCTGAGTGCTGGGATTAAAAGTGTGTGCCACTGCTGCCCAGCTTTTTTTTTTTTTTTTTTATCTTTGGTTTCCGAGACAGGGTTTCTCTGTGTAGTTTTGGCTGGAACTCACTCTAGCCCATGCTGGCCTCGAACAAACTCACAGAGATCCACCTGCTTCTGCCTTCTGAGTGCTGGGATTAAACGTGTGCACCACCACGCTCGGCTTTTTGTTTTGTTTTGTTTTGTTTTGTTTTAAACAAAGGCTATACTTAGATTTTTGGAAGAGATTCTTTTTCTTTGGGATGAAATGCTTGAATATGTATACTCAAATATTTAAGTGATAATAATGAATATGAACACCTTACTGTTCTTTCCAGTCTGTTCTTTTTTTATTTATTTTTGTGTATGTCATGTTCGTTTGGGTGCCTGCAAAAGCCCTAAGAAAGTGTCAGATCCCTTGGAGTTGAGACACAGGCAGTTGTGGACCACTGGGTGCTGACAAATGAACTCAGATCCTCAGTTAGAATAGCAAGCTCTCTTAACCACTGAGCATTTCTTCAGGCCCTCCAGTCTGTTCTGGAGCTCAGAGAGAAACTGAGATAAAAGCTCCTTGGAGCAGGGTGTTAGCCTGTGCCTGCAAACCTAGCCTACAGACCTGTCTGGTTAGGAGGCTCAGACAGGGGGATCTTAAGTTGGAGGCCAGCCTCGGCAACTTAGCAAGACACTGCCTGAAAATGAAATGCAAGTGGCTGGGGATACAGCATAGGAGAAGAGTGCTTGCTTAGCTTGCTTAGCTTTAGTAAAGCTCTGGAGGTTCATGCTCCGGTGTTCTTCCCCACCCCCCAAACACACACACACACACACACACACACACACACACACACACACACACACACACACACACACGTACTTGAACTCAGAATGTGTATAGTTTATGTGCATCTGCTTTGTGCAATTCTGGAAGGTTTGGGTTTAAGATTTCTAGCTGATGTCCTGTTTTCTCTTTCCCAGGGAACTGGTAGTTGTGCATTCTCAAAATGGGAGCCAGATTCTACCAAGAAAGAAATGTCCCTTAAGAACTTTGTGGATACAGAGATTATCAAAGGTAGAGATAAGCCACTGACACTACTTTCTGTTACCACCCTTGGATGTGCTCAGGCTGGACTCATTTGCTGGGTAGCTGAGGCCGAGCTTGAACTTCTGATCCTCCAGCCTTCACTCTTGAGTACTAGGAGTGCCTGCTTGCACTGCTATACATAGTGTATGTGCTGCTGGAGATTGAATTGTGTGAGAGTGTGAGAGTGTGAGAGTGTGTGTGTGTGTGTGTGTGTGTGTGTGTGTGTGTGTGTGTGTGTGTGGTCAGAGGATGACTCTCAGGTGCTATTTTCTTTCCACTGTGGGTTCTTCATTTCATTTGTTTAGTTTGTACTTTACGTGTACAAATTTGATTACCTTATGTCCGTATGGGGATCAGAGGCAAACTGGCAGCTCTCTCCTTTCACCACATGGGTCCTTGGGATTGATCTCAGGTTTTCTGGCTTGGCAAGTGCTTTTATGCACGGAGCCATCTTGCCCACCTGATTTTTGTCTTTGTTTTTGAGGTGGACTCTTAATGTAGTCTGTGCTGACCTGAAACTTGTGGTTATATATTGTGTACCCGAATAAAGCTTGTTTGAGGATCAGAGGACAGAGCCAGCCACTAGATTAGACGTAGAAGCCAGACAGTTGTGGCACACACTCTTAATCCCAGTGCTGAGGATTTCACAGAAGTCAGAACTAGTGGCTGGCTGTTCTGCTGCTCTGATCTTTCAGCTTTCATCCTGATACCTGCCTCTGGGTTTTTCATTATGGCCCAGACTTGACTCAGATTTGAGTCAATTCTCCTGTGTGAGTTCCCATGATGCTGGGAGTATAGGTACTAGCCACTTTTCCAAGCATGGGCCATGTTGTTATGCTACAGTGAACCAGCCAGATTCATTTGGAGACTCCACACATGATCATGTTATATTCCAGTTGTTACTTTTGGAGAGACTTTGTGTTGTTGGTTTTTGTTTTGTTTTTTTTTTTTTTTTTTGAGACAGGATTTCTCTGTGTAACAGCCCTGGCTGTCCTGGAACTTGCTCTATAGACCAGGCTAGTCTCAAATTCCCAGAGATCCACCTGCCTCTGTCTCCTGAGTGCTGGGTTTAAAGGCGTGTGCCATCATGCCCGGCTCCAGGCTTTGTGTTTTATTGGTTGGTCATCTTGAAACAAAAGGAACGATAACAAAAGCCAAAACCAAGGCAGCAGTAGATGGAAATGGGAACTTCATTTAAAGTGGTTCTGCCTTTTCATGAAGACAATAGTTCACAGCCGAAACAGGGTCCTGTGTGGTAGTGAAATGAAATCCTTAGACATCTCCCTTTCTCTTTCAGGTGCAAAGTCATTTCAGCTGATCGACAACCTGCTGTTTGTGCTCGATACTGATGTATGTTTCTGGTACTTCTTCAGTGTTTCCATTTACTGTGCCCACTCTTTTGTTACTTGAGCCTTTGCGCTAGGGAGTCAGCTCACAGCCTCATTAATGCCACGCAAGTGTTCCTCCAGCGAGCTCCATCCTCCCCCATCATATGTCTGTTTAAAGGATGTTAGACAAGGGCGGTGGTGGTGGGGGGGATTAGTGTGTGTGTGCGGTGCTCCGCTTCAGTGTGTGCGTCAGAAACGGAGCCGAAGGGTCAGCTCCTCGGTCATCAAGACGGCTAACTGAGTGCTACCCCACAGAATGTGCTGAGCTTGTGGGACGCTCACACCCTCACTCCTGTGTGGAACTGGCCTTCCCTTCCTGTGGAGCAGTTTCTCCTCACAACAGAAGCCGATTCTCCCTCGTCACTTACCTGGTATGTTGGAGTCTAGAGTGATTTTCGTAGCAGCAGGTTTCCTGTCCGGATTTATTCAGATCACTTACTTAGATCTTGTGTTCGGAACCACATCTGCAACAGTCTGGCTGAGGAAGGGCTGATTCATTATCTGCCGCTTTCTACTTGGCCCAAATAGGTAATGTAATAGGGACTTCTGCATAATTATGGTAGAAAGAGAATCCATGGTCTTCTGAGTGCATTTTAACATTTCTGTGAGAAGATCGCTTTGCCTTAGCTTGTCTTAGCAGCCTGCAAAGCTTGTTCAACCTTGGCTTCTGTTCTCTTTCAGGCAAGGAATTGCAAACCTCAAATTAGTCACTCTGACAGCCACAACTACGGAGAAGGTACTGGAGACTTTACTTCAGACCTGTCCATTTGATGAGTGGGAAATCACAGTCACTGGCCAGTTCTGGTGGCTCAGGCTTGGACTCCCAGCTGCCCTGCAGGCTGAGGCAGCGTGATCATAACTGAAGGTCTGCCTGGGTCACAGAGAAATGATGCCAGCTAATGCTCACAGCATGCTAAGTTGACGTGCACCTAGACTGACAAACCAGAAATAATCCTGCAAAACCGGATTCCATTTTTCAGAGAATAGATGAAATCTTGGCTCTTCATTTCAAACAACACTTTAGGAATCCAAAATATTTATACAAACTTATTTGAGCCAGGTATGTTATCTCACACCTGGAGTTGTAGGCTGCAGGAGGCTGAGAAAGTAAGGTCATGGGTTCAAGGCCAGTCTGGGATAACCCAAGCAAGTGCTTAGGTCAAAAGCCAAGCGCTATTGAGGAAAGAGTAGCTGCCTAGTGTATGCAGGGCCCTGAGTTTAGTTTCCAGTGCTGAAATGGGATGGCAGAGGAGGGGGAAGAGAAAAGGGAATAGAGAGGGAAGGACAGAGGAGGAGGCATTTCCTAGGGTTACTGTTGTGGACGTGTAGCAATGAGGACTAACTGTGAGGGGATTTATGTGCCTGTTTTTATTTGGCTGATGGGGAGATGGACCCGAGTGGTGGTCTCTGTCTTTTTTTTTTTCTTTTTTTAAAGATCACAGTTTTGTGTGTAGCATTTAAAGAATAACAGTGGCAGGCCGACGTCAGTAGTAAGAGAGGGTTGTGGTTTTATGTAGCTTTGTACAGGATGTTCTAGTAGATGTCCTGAAGGGAAGTGCTGACTTGTGCCGATAGGTTTGTATTAGCTCACTAAACTGTTTTCATTTCTCCTAGACGAGAAACCTCATCATTTATTCCTTACCTACGATGGAAGTACTGTATACTTTGGAAGTTTCTAGCGTTTCTTCTTTAGTTCAAACAGGAATTAGCACGGTATGTCTATGCGTGTGTTTAACTACTTTGCTTTAATTTTCTTTCTTAATTTTTATGAGTAAGAAAGGCATGAGTGGAGTTTAGTTCCATATCTGGCTTGATCTCTGCTTTACACCTACATTCGTAATAACAGATACTTGGAGACCCAACCTAGTCCACAAGAATTACGATAAAACTTCATCTGCTGTTTCATTTTCTTATTTAAAAAATACATTTGTACTATTTTTAATTATGTGAGTGTGTGTGGGTGAGTATGTGTATTAGCGGTATCAGATCCCCTGGTGCTGGAGTGACAGGCAGTTATGAGCCGCCGTACACTGTCCGTCTCTGAGCTGTCTCTAGCCTTTCTTCAACTTTCCAGCTGTCTCTTTTTTTTTTTTTTTTTTGGTTTTTCGAGACAGGGTTTCTCTGTGTAGTTTTGGTGCCTATCCTGGATCTTGCTCTGTAGACCAGACTGGCCTCGAACTCACAAAGATCCGCCTGCCTCTGCCTCCCAAGTGCTGGAATTAAAAGCATGTGCCATCACCGCCCGGCTAATATTTATATT